TGCAAGACTTAATGTTTTGATCATTTTTATAAAGCTTAACAAAAAACATAGAGCTTAATTAAGATATAATGAAATATTTACACTTAAAAGATATTGAATAAATAACATTTGTATATGTTTTGGTCATTTTTGCACATAAAAATATCAAAACTAATGGCATTAACACATGTTTGATAATAAGTAGTCAATTTATTATATTTATGCATAATACGTATTTTTTTATACGTTTGTAGATATTAAAAATCATATGATTCTTCATACACGTTTAATTTTTTTTAAAATATATACTAAAATCGATTAGTCAACCTAAATATTTATTTTGTGCTTGGACGCGGGTCAAAATCTAGTTAACATGTTCCTAAATGTCGGTCAACTTTAGAAATAAATGTTGAATACTAACTGGCTTTTTGGCTGCTTGTATAATGTACAAAAAAAAATTAGATTAAATTCTTCGGGTCCGAAATTTGTAAACCGTAAAACAATCATTAGTTTGGAGCCTCGTGGTCCTAAATGTTAATAATTAAACTATACTAGATTTATATCCACACAATATAATTTTTAATATGTCAAAAATAAATCATGAAATAAAAGTATAATAATTTAAATTTTAGAAGGTAATTCTATGCAACCACAACGGAATCGGCGAATACGATTTACCAATTAAAGCAAACACAACATGTTATAAGATTTTTTTTATCAACTTAAAATGTTTTTTTCCTATCCAACCTACTATACTGGTGCGATCAAACAAAATTTAGCCGGTTTCAAATCCAATAACCTAGTCTACTAATATATTAAAGTACTTTTATAAAAAACCATGTACTTTTATAAAAAAAAATCATTCATTTCATATAGTAAACAAAATGAAATTTTTATATAGTCTCTTGCCTACATTATTTGAACTCTAAAACATTTGTTTATCTCATTAAAGTTTCTACATCTTTTAAAATACACTTGTTCTCCTTCCGGAATCTATTCTCTTTTCGCTTTCTTTTTGCTTACATATAACATGTTAAGACTATATATTGATTTCTATCTCTTTGTAGTGAAATTGTTCATATCTTTCAGCAAACGTCAAATTTTCATTATCTAATCATATTTTCTACTTCACAATCCTCATTTGAATCATTTTATTACATCGTCTCAAATATTCATCATCATTTGATTTCTATTCTTTTAGAATTGTCTCATGTC